TTATGAATTCAGGACTAACAAGCATAACTCTTTAGCAGGTTTATTGTTTTCTGTTCTGACAGCAAAGTGGGAGTGTCTCCCACACTGTGCACTCCTTTCCTTTTTAACCAACGTAAATCCAGAAACAGCGCAAGAGATCTTCAAGGCGTTTGGAATGTGAGTCGTCCTGTTGTCACATACACGGTATGAAATGCCTATTTGTGGGTTCAAGAACTTTCTTAAAGCAGTTCACTGCTGAGACTGCTGCAAAATGAAAGTCCTAACCTATAAGAAGCACTTTGCTCCAGTGTATTGCTCACTTCTTTTTTTTTTTTAAAAAAAAATATACCATGAGAGTCTGAAACTAAGGTACCTCTCTAAAGACAACATTTTCTAAGAACATTAGTTACAGAGGAATGACCTGCCTTTGTTATATTGTCAGCCTGCAGACTCTCATAGCAAGAGATTAACTATTTCCAGAAGAACTGATTGAGGAAAAGAAAAAACAGCAGTATTACAGGATACACAAACTTCTTTTATGGAACAAAATAATTTGGGCCATAACTTGATTACTTAGTTACACAACACCACTTCACAGGTAGTCCACAGGAACATTATTCTAGTTAGATCAAGGCAACTTTTCGGTCAGTTTTCAGATTTGAAAGACTCCAGAAAATTGAACTAACTCTATTTAGAATTACTGTGCAGCTTGTAAACACAGAACTATAGTTTTCAGTAGATCTAGGAGCAGACATTCTCTTTTTATAAAAGCTGACAGGATAAATTCAATGCAGAGATTTCTTAATATTTTAACATATGGTTCATAGTCATCTGACATTTTGTATTAACTTTGTCATGGTTTAACCCCAGCCAGCAATTCCCCACACACTCAATTCCCCACCTACCCCACTGGAGAGGAGAACTGGGGGGGGAAAAAAGGTAAAACTGGTTGGTTTATATAGGAACAGATGAATTATAGAAACAAAATAAAATATAGTAATGATGATGATGATGATAACAACGAGAAAGAGAGAGAGAGAGGAATAAAACTCAGGAAAAACAAGTGATGCACACTACAGTTGCTCACCACCTGCTGACTGATGCCCAGCCAGTCCCAAAGCAGCTCCCAGCCAACTTCCCCCAGTTTATATAGGGGCCGTGGTGTTCTATGGTACAGAATATCCCTTTGGCTAGTTCAGGTCAGCTGTTCTGGCCACGCTCCCCCTGCCCTAGCTTCCTGTGCACCTCCCCACTGGCAGAGGATGGAAAACTGAAAAGTCCTCGATTTAGAGTAAACAATACCTAGCAACAACTAAAACATCAGTGTGTTATAACATTATTGTCAAACTAAGTTCAAAACACAGCAGGGCACCAGCTACTGGAAGGAAAATTAACTCTAGCACATCTGAAGCCAGGACAAACTTTCATCAAGAACCACTTAAAATTCTCAAATGGATAGTACACTTACCCTCAAATACTGCAAGATATAATTATCAAGATGACAAACGCTCCAGTCTTTGGCATACATAAACTGTATGAGTTAAGGCACAATAGCACAGCATGCACTGACAGAGTACAGATTTACTGTTGTCAGAAAGTAAATTATTCTTAATTTCATTACAGTCATAAAACAAGGCTCACTAAAATTCAGAAGCAATAGATAAAAGGTCTTCAGCTCCCAAAAAAATTCAGTGGATACTACACTGGTACTAGCTGTAGCACTAAATAAAGTGTTTGTTTAAATATTGCAATTGCTTTGAACCAATCACTGTAGAAATGGTCTAAGTTTCAGTTCTTCCAATTTCCTCAGCTCCTGTAAATCTTTGACAGAAATATAAATGCTTTTCAACAGCAATTTTGAGCCTACATTTGAAAGTATGCTTATACTTCTTTCTACTTAGATTGGACGAGAGATAAGCAAAAGCTGTTAAATCAAGACAAGAGTGCCCCTCAGTGGCAGTATGATGATATAAAATACAATTACATGATACTTTAAAATAATATTCTGAATATTTATTTTCATCACTCAAGGACAAATGCTCCATTAAATCACCTTCTTTCAAAACTATATAATTACTAAGAATCAGCGGGCTTTGGGCACATACAATTTAATAATGAATGAATTTAGGTATGTACATCATCAGGTAAAAATATTTACTATGAAACAACAGTTGCTAAATATTTATAGCTGAGTGTTTTGTGGATGGGTGTGTGCATATGCCTACAACTTCCTGTTATATTTCTAGAAGACAGACTGAATTTTGCCTAAAGACTTCTGATAACAATTCTGCAGCATTCAAATCATTTATTTTCTCCTGTGTCATGAGCAGTAAGAAAGCATGCAGTAGTTCACTGAGAACTTTAAAAACTACAGGATCTGAATTGCTTGTAAGACTTGCTGTGTGTACCAGGTTGTACTGATTCACTCAAAGACCAAAGCTCTGCCATGCTTTGTACTGTTCACATGCACACTGCTTCCAAAGCCTGTCCTGGAACCTGCCCAGGGTCCCTCCCTAGTAATCACACTGGTGATTACAGAAGTGTACATCAAGAATATTCACTAGTCAGGCTTAGACAAATAGCACCTCACTGCAGCTGATCACTGGAAACAACTGAAGGATACTAAGCAACTTCATGGTAGAATTGGAATAGAATAAAATTGACAGCTGTTTTACGTTGTATGTTCATTAGCACTCTCTATGTAATCTGGTTATTTCAATTTTCTTGCTGATGTAATAAAAACAGGCACTGAAGCATAGCTACAGTTTAATTTTTTTAGGGCTACATCAACTCCTCCATCATATTTGACATATATAGGTGCAAAAAAATATAGTCATGGCTGTCATACACCTGGTGGCAATGAACACAAAATTTGTATTAGCAATTATTTTACTTCTGCACCTGGGAAGATCATGGAACAGATCCTCCTAGAAGCTACACTAAGGCACATGGAGGACAGGCACATGGAAGCAATTCAGGCTTCACCAAGGGCAAGTCCTGCCCAACCAACCTAGTGGTCCTCTATGATTGAGTGACTACATCAGTGGACAAGGAAAGGGCAACAATAAATGTAATTTATCTGGACTTCTGTAAAGCCTTTGACACAATCCCCCACAACATCCTTCTCTCTAAATTGGAGAGAGATAAATTTGATGAGTGGACTGTTAGATGGATAAAAAAGTAATTGGATGATTGCATCCACATGGTAGTGACCAATGGCTCAAAGTCCCAGTCGACATCAGTGACAAGTGGTGTCCCTCAGGCGCCAGTCTTAGGTAACACCTTCATTAATGACAAAGATGAAGGGATCGAGTGCACCCTCACCAAATTTGCAGATGACACCAAGCTGAGTGTTGTGGTTGACACACCTGAACAATGGGATGCCATCCAGAGAGACCTGGACAAGCTCGAGAAGTGGGTCCATGGGAATCTCATGCAGTTTAACAAGACCAAGTGCAAGGTGCTGCACCTGGGTTGGGGCATCCCTCAGTATCAATACAGGCTGTGGGATGAACAGATGGAGAGCAGCCCTGCTGAGAAGGAGTTGGGGGTGATGGTGGATGAAAGGCTGGATATGAGCTGGCAATGTGAAAGCCAACCCTACCCCAGGCTGCACCCAGCAGGTTGAGACAAGTGATTCTGTCCCTCTTCTCTGCTCTGGTGAGACACTACTTGGAGTACTGCAAACAGCTATGGGGTCCCCAGCACAGGAAGGACATTGACCTGTTCGAGTGAGTCCAGAGGAGGCCACCAAGATGATTAGAGGGATGAAGCACCTCTCCTACAAGGAAAGGCTGAGAGAATTGAATTTATTCATCCTGGAAAAGAGGTTGCAGGGGGACGTAACTGTGGCCTTCCAGTATCTAAAGGAAGCCTTCAAGAATCATAGAATCAAAGGATATGCTAGGTTGAAAGGGACTCATCAGGATCACAGAGCCCAACTTGTGGCTCTGCACAGGACACCCCAAAAATCCCATCATGTGCCCAAGAATGCTGTCCAAACACTTCCGTAACTCAGACAGGCTTGGTGCTGTGACCACTTCCCTGGGCAGCCTGTTACACCCTTGGGATGGAAAATCTTTTCCTGATATTCAACCTAAACCTACCCCTCCTCAGCTTCATGCCATTCCCTCAGGTCCTGTCACTGGTCATGAGAGGGAAGAGACCAGCACCTGCCCCTCCTATTCCCTTCACAAGGAAGTTTTAGACTGCAATAAGGTCTCCACTACGCCTCATCTCCTGCAGGCTGAACAGAACTCAGCTGCTCCTCATATGGCTTCTCCTCCAGACCCTTTGCCATCTTCATTGCCCTCCTTTGGACACTCTCTATTAGCTTAATATCTTTCTTATATTGCAGTGCCCAAAACTGCAGACAATATTCAAGGTGAGGCCACCCCAGTGCAGAGCAGAGCAGGACAATCCCCTCCCTCGACTGGCTGGCAATGCTTTGTCTGATGACCCCCAGGACACGGCTGGCCCTCCTGGCTGCCAGGGCACTGCTGACTCATATGCAACTTGCCATCAACCAGGACCACCTTTCTGCAGCACTGCTCTCCAGCTTCTCATTTCCAGCCTATACAGACAATTGGGGTTGGGGAGGGATTTTTTACAAGAGGATGTAGTGAGATGACAAGGGGAAATAGCTTCAAACTGAAAAAGAGCAGTTTAAATTACATATTAGCTTTTTTACTGTGAAGGTAGTGAGGCACTGGAACAGGTTGTGCAGAGAAGTTATGGATGCCCCATCTCTGGAAGTTTTAAGGTCAGGTTGGATGGAGCTCTGAGCAACCCAGTCTAGTCAAAGATGTCCCTGCCTACAGCAAGAGGGATTGAAAATAGAGGATCTTTAAGATCCCTTTCCACCCACACCATTCTATACCATAGGATCACAATCCAATAATTTACTAGCTTCCAAGTACAATGATCAATGGCCCAGGAATCTGAAACCTTCTGAGAGTTTCAGTAAAGAAATGTTTCTCAGGTACATAATGAGAAATTGTCTTAAAGAAAAGCAGTTGTACTTACTAACTGTAACTTTGTCTTTATCCCCCAGCATGACAGTGTTCGGAGGGAGATCTCGATGAACAATCCTCTTCTCTTTATGCAAATAACAAAGAGCTAGACAAAGCTTAAAAACAAACAAAAAGGATCTTACAAAGATTCTCAATTACAACCTTAATAAAGGCATGTAAAATTAAATTCATAGCTGATATTAGCATCTGATAGAATAAGCTTTACTTTGTCATTTATTAGCCTAAAAAAACAGTGCTCCTCGGGAACCAGCTCCGGTGAGAGAGGGGTAGGACAGACTTGCTAGCTGGTGCTTGAGAGGGCTATATAAGAGCCTGAAAGAGAGCTACTGGCTGATTGCTGCCTGGGCTTGGCTACTCCTCGGGAACTGACTCAGGTGAGAGAGGGGTGGGACAGGCTTGCTAGCTGGTGCTTGAGAGGGCTATATAAACATCTCCAGGGAGCACAGGTGAACAGGAGTGGGCAAACGGGCCTGGCATGGCAGTTCAAACAGGCAGGGCACAGCCATCTCCTAGGAGAGACTGCAAAGACTTGTGTAATTCTAGTAAGGATGTTTTGCATTGTCCTTCTATAGTGATTGGAAAAAGACATGATCCTCCAGAAGGCTTTCAGAATGGGAAGTTGACTTGCTATTGAGAAATCTCCTCTAAAAGGGATTTGCTCCATAACTACTGAGGAATCCTAACCTGACTGGTAGTCTTTAGACACAGAGTTCCATCATAATCAATTCATAATTGATCTATCACAGCAAATTAGAATAGAGGGAAAAACATGATCAAATAAAATACTCTCAGGTTAAATCCAAAATTATATATATAAGATGTTTTTACAGGTGAAAAATATATCTAATTCCCATATACGTAATATTTCGTGCTTTGCTTCTTTCTAACAAAAGTACACTTTTGAAAATAAGTGCTGGTATTGCACCTATGGAAATAAACACATCTGACTTGGTGCTCCTACTCCCCAAAGCAGGTATAAAATTTACAATTTTGAAATATTTTGAATCCTTTTACATAAGTGTACGAAAAGACATAACAGAGACCTTATAAACCTACCCGCTTGAAGTGAGAAAGTATTTTCTTGCATCTCCTCAGGACTCAGATCATCTGACAAATGAAGATCCTGGATTCTCCCTGCTGCATTTGCACTAGATAAACTTCTAACTGAAGAGTGATCAGAAATAAGATTTCTTTCCCTGGAATTAAAAACAAAACAAAAATCAAACTATAAGTGTCTTAATATATCTTTGTTAACCATTTCTGAAGTTCTGAAAATTTATAGGTTTTTCATTAAATTATGTAATACACTTTGAAAAAGCAAACAAGTCTTTAAGCAGAAAACTTCTTTACCATGTTCATCAATTATATTTACAATTCTAGCTCACTAATTAGGTGTCTGATTAATTGAGAAACTAAGTAGACAGTAAAGACGTATTTATGATTTATTTGTTATTTAGTTTATACACCAGAAATATGAAAAACTCCTGAAGGATGACAATGAAACATGAAAAGCTGAAAAAAATATTGCTCACTCATTATGCTCCAAAAAGCATAATTAAATTCTGCAGGCATCACACAGAGCCGAACAAACCAAAGATGCTATTTAATGAAATAGGGCTTGGTCAAATATATCTTAAAACATCAAACAGTCTCATACAATTGCCATGAAATTGAGGACTGAAAACCTAACCCTGTAATATATGAAGGAGCTGCTTGATTCCACCCTAAATCGGAATTTCCACACTAGTCTCAGGATCTTCACAAACCTGTACTAGAATCCAAACTATACTCCACAGAAGTTTGATATGACCAGAATGGAGTAAACTGAGCAAGACTGGAACTCCTTCACACGTTTTTACTTGCTCTTTGACTCATGACTCTGCACAAAGGAGTCGTAGCAACTCTGCTGTGAGCCTAAAAAAACCAAAATTTTAACAATAACTCCACAGTTACTTTGTATTGTCAGATATCTAAGGGAAAAAAAATTACATTAAATGTTTAAGAAAGAACAGAGACCTCCTATAAAGAAAAAGAAGTTAAAGAAAACCGCTTAAAGTCACTGTATAAAGACAATGTATACCTTTATAAATGGCAATTTTCAGCAGTATCTAAAAGCTATGGTGTCCTATTTACATTTCCTGTTGCCATATCATTTTGAACCAAAAGGGTGTACAATTCTAGTAATTACTTTTACCTGTGGGTAGCAGCAAAAGACACTTTTTGCTGTGACTAGTTAGCTGCCCTCTTCTAGTCAGCTAAGAAAAACCTGTGAGAGTTAAAGTGATCTTGTAAAGCTGCTCTTTTTCTTCAAATTCTGTATCCTCCAGAACACTTAGAAAAAATATGCCTTCATTTGTGAAATTCATTTTAAAGGCAGGAAGCCCAGAACATCTATAATCAGAAAGGACAAGACCATAAACAGTTATCAACAAGGAGGTGAATGAGTGTGAAATAAATATATGTTTTTTCATATGGTAATTTTGCTCATCACTTTTCACATTAGCTTGACAGCTGGAAAAATAAGGTAATAACCTGGAGGTGTGTTTAAAATGATCAAATAAAAACTTGAAGAAACTGGTGTGAGAGCAGGATTTTCAATTTTGTTTTCAAGATTTTGTTTGGGGACAAATTCTGTTACTCATATGATCTTTATTTCCAGCTCCGAAGCCAAATCCTATGGCTTTTTAAAAAGACAATCTTGGGTTTGTAGCACAGCACTATCATGAACTCAAATCCATAACGTGATTTAAGAAAAATATAATACAAGTGCCTGTGAATGACTTACAAGGCAAAGACGATGATATAATGTTAGTCAGTGCTGTACTTATGTGGGAAATTGATGCTCTAGGTTAGGGACCACGTCCTTTTGCCTCCCCGGAGACTCCTCCCCGCTGGCTGCGGGGCTGCCACAGCCCCCCAGAACTCCCAGAAAAATCCTGGCGCTGCCTGCTGGCGCCCCAAGCCCGTGGTCATTTCCCTCCCTGTCCTGCCCGGGTGCCGCGGAGGCACCTGCTGTCCCCTTCTGGAGGGGTTCGGGGTGTCCCGGGAGCGAAAAGGAGGGCTCGTCCGGGATTTGAGCCCCCGCACGGCTCCACAGCGAGCCCTGCCACCCCCGGGGGCCGAGCCGAGCCCCGACCCGCCACCGCAGTCCCCCAGCACTGCCAGTCCCGCGGCTTCCCCCGGGAACACCGGGAGCGACCGGAGCGGGTGGGGCGGGGA